GTAATAATGACTTTGTATGACATTATTTGCAACATACACTCCACTTTTGGTGACGTTTTAAAGAAGATCGGATTCAACTCTTCTTTTCACTGTCTCCCTTTTTTCTTTTTTGTTATACTGTGTCACATTCTTTGTTAGGTGTATTCTGATGGTTATATTCAGTGGCACTCCTTTCCATCTTCTTTTTATTTTTTTGTTATAATTTCTCCCAATAAACATATTTAGATATTTTTTATAGATTTATTATCATCTGGATAGAATTGTCCAGTTCAGCTGAGTTCTTTTATTATTTTGATAAATATAAATTTTAAAACAAATATATCAAAATTAAATAATTTAATTGTCCGAATTGAAAATATGAAATTAATTTTGAATCTTAAACTAATCGATGCTCAAACCTCTGATACAGTATAAAAAATTAATAAAACTCACGTTTGGTAATCATAATATATATATATATATATATATATAAGTAATTAATAATTTTAAAGTTTCTATAATAATTTAAGTAATTATTATTTTTTGTGTCATTAATTAATTATTTAATAATTTGTACATGATTTTTTAAATATTTATAAATTATGAGTAATTTATTATAGTCAGAGAAATGTTACATGTTTAAATATTCATAAGTATTTATATTATTATAGGCATCTTGTCCAGAGTTTTCATTTAAGTTAAAATCAAATAATTTATGATTTGTAAGATATATTTTAATTTATAAAGTAAAATACACAGATTAATTTTACTTTAAAAAATATTCATGTTATCTTTTTTAATATTTATTGAAAATTTTATTTAAATTAGATAATAATTATATATATATACTGAAACAATACTCCTTACCATCTTGGTTATCCACCGAGAGCGGAGAGGCAACTTAACATGTGATTGCATCTTATAGACCAAACTGAATCCCCAAAAAGGTGGGTCAAAATTTAAAGCTGTGAAAATACGTTACCTGCTGCATTTGAATTGACTTTCAATGGAGCAATGTAAGACACATGCTCCAAATAAAGACACATAATGCTGAGAATAACTTGGAAAACAAGAAGTTGCAGCAACCACCTCAGCGATGAAGAATATGATATGATGACAGAGAGTGATTGAAGCAAAGGAAGAAACCTCTCTACCTCTGAGTCTGAGGAGAAGTTCTAATGTTTCTTCTTTTCAGCCACGTGAATTGGACCATTCATACACATGCAGAGGTCCCAAAGGGATTCAAATTGGCTTAGCAGTCAAGAAACCCATGCTTTCTCCCCTCCTCTTTACCATACATCACAACACTTCCCCTACCCAATTGCTTCAGCTGCTTCTTCAAAACGTGTTCAATTCAAACGAGTTTAAAACACCATTTCACAATCACTTACAGTAGAGGTAAATAACACAAATCAACACGTACATTAAGAGTTAGAAAAACTATTCACAAAAATATCCTAGCTAGAGGAATCCTTAGTTCTAAAATTATATAATCCTCCCCCTCTAGAACATATATCCTAAATAACAAAGTTAGAGAAGAGGAAGGGAACTTGGTTCTTCAAACAAGGTGCTCTAGTTGTAACCTTTTAAAATAGCATTCAAAATAACATGAAAAATGAAAGGAATCTAGGCCAAAAATGAAATAGGAGAAGGACAGAACTCACCTATTCCTTAGAGAGAAAATATCTTACACAAATGAATAAAATCTTATGTTTTAAATTTTATAATAAATTTTGAAGTCATAACTTTTTCTTTCCTTCTAGACCATTATTATGTCATAAATTAAGTGCTTATACCATAAATTCTATTTTAGATTTAGGGTATGTTCGAGAATATAGTTTAGCTAAACACTTATTTAATGAGTTTTCATTAGAATTAAGAACATATGAAGTTATTGGTACCGAATGTTTTAATGATAATATAACATTTAAATATAGATGAAGTTAACATGTACTGGTCCCTAACAAATTAAGAGTATGTTTGTGGATGAAGTATTAAACAATGTTAAGAAGAGTAAAGAAAGTTTTTTTAGCACCACATTTTACACTAGAATACCATATGTTGCACTATCTAAAGATTAATTAATTGTCTATAGAAAATCATCGGTTCGATAATTAGAAAGACTATCCAAAGAGTGTTTGAAGATCGTTTGAAGAATTCACTTTTTGCAAATATATTTGATTAATTGTTTACTCTTCAATAGTTGTGCTCATACTTGTTAACATCAACCTATAACATTACTTAAGCAAGGACACAAAAATACAGAATCTTTTTTTAACATGAAAGAATTATCTATTAATGTCATAAAAAAAAGATCTTAAAAAGAAATTTGTTTGTACATATCAATAGGCTTATGCATTAAATGAAACTCAGAACGATAACATTTGAATCTCAATGTTCAAATGCAGTATGACTGTATATATACATGAGGTTGAAACATAAATTAAGATAGACAATGAGAATAATAAATGAGTGAATGCTTTAATCCTTTTATCAAAACTTAACTTAGTCATCTTCTAAATACTAAACACTTTGTTAAAATTAAAGTTTTTACCTTTGATTATCTTCATGCTTAAAAAACCTTGAGATAGCACTAAACTTCTCTTATATTTTGGGAAAGTGATACGTAGAGAAACTTAAGGGGAATACTTGAGTCTGAGCCTGGAGAAGCTAAGGGAACAAACAATTCTTAGGTTTGATCTTAGAGAGGTTAGATGAGTAAAAAATAATTGAAACGTTGTATCAACTTTAAAAGGAGTTCAACAATAATAAAAGATCCTGTTATGAGTGATAGGTACTAGATGTAGCCTTAGTTTTGTAAGTGAACTGATATAAATCACTAGTGTTGATCTTCTCTTTCCTCTCTATTTTTTTAAAGGATTTTGTTAATTTTAATCCTTAAGACTATGATAAGCAGTTAATAATAATAAAATTTTATAAAAAAAAATATTTATTATATTTTTATAATTTCAATATAATAATTATGTATTTTTTTATAATTTTTTTTTATTTGTGAATATTTAACTCAGTGTTAACAAAACTTTTTGTTTTAAATACTAACGTACGGTTTGTTAGAATGATAGTTTTGATTTTCACGAAGCAAAGTGTTAGAAATTTTGATAAGACAATCATCTTTTACACCTAGCCCATCATTGCTTAAGTATAGTTCTATTTTGAAGTTTGCCAAATGTTTAAAAATAAAAAAAACTCAATCCAATTCCCTTCCTTGAGTCTTTTTTACATTTTCTTCTATTTTACTCTTTTTACATTAGAACTTATGTTATAAATATGACCATGAAACTTTTAAAATAAGTTGGAAAGACTTTACTCTGATAAGCTATACTAAGAATTTTATTAAAATATACTGAAAAGATTTTACAAAAGTAATAAGCTATTTTTATTATAAGCCCTTTCAAAACAATCCTTCACAATTTAGTTTGGATTTTCTTTAACTATTTGAAATATTCTTTCAGCCCAAACCATTATTCTCTAGTCTAAAAGACCAAACATCTAAACAAATGGTTAGCGTAAAATTAAGTTTTACAAATTATGCATAAATTTATATTTATAATAGTTATAAAAAAAAAAAGAGGTGTTATAATGTCCTTAATACTAGTATGGTTGAGCATAAACCTCTATTAAAGTTAAAACGAACGATATGGCATCCAATTATGCTATGCTAAATTGCTTAAGTAATTATAACATAATTGTAGAAAAATAATTAAATTATGACATAGAAGTATGTAACATTAAAAGCACCACATTATAACATAGATTCATTTTAAAATAAATTTAAAAATAATACAAAATATCTTTTGAATTTAACTTATAGTAAAATGAGGGGTTGCCAAGTTCAAAGTTGCACTACAAGTGGATTATAAATTTATTTACAAACAAAATTGAGTCCTAGTATAGTAGCTCTTTAAATTAAAAGATATTTCGAAAATATTTAACTTCTGTGATGTTATTTTATTTGATATCAAATTTGAATTTGTGTTGTAGCATCTCTAAAGCATTTAATGATCAAGTGGGGAAAAGTAATCTTGTGTCATCTTTGTCTTAAATGTATGATAAATAAATAGAAAAATTACATAACAGATGAATGAGCTTAAATAATGAGTAGATGAAAGTGATCATGTTTCATATATCTTATCGTGTGTTTAGATGAAAAACTTTAAAGTGAAGAATTAAAATTTTGTCTGTTAAAATAATTTGATTAAGTGTTCGATTTTACAGAATTAAAAATAAACTAAATTTTTCTCGTACTCCAAGAAATTCTACTCCAAATTCAACGTCAACTCCATCATCACAAACTGCTGCTTGGAAAGCATCTTTATCGACACGTGCTTTGCTCTTTCCTATTTTAATTTCTTTATACCATCTTTCCTATTGGAAACCATCTTTATACCATTTTAACTTCTTTATCCAAACAAATCCTTAATGCCTCATTCGTACATTCATTCTCAACAATGTTTTAAAAAAATATTTATACATAAAACTTTAAATTTTGTTTGCTTTATTCCAAAATACAAAAATATATTCTTTCAATTTCAAAATTAAAATAACAAAATATACAAATTAATTTTTTTGAGAGAAATACGTTTTCAAAAGTAATTAAATTTCATACAATCAATTAAAAAATAATATTTTAAAATTAAAGTCATAAATTGGTGTATTTTCTGTAAACATAAATAATTGTCAAATCTAAAGCTAATTTAGAAACTTAAGATTAATAATTTTTTTCTAATGTTTCTTTGATAAATTTTAGCTAGCATTCTTTATTATTTTCAGATTGGAAGCCAATTACATGTTTCCACTTTACATTAGCCATCCGTCGCGAGCCCCAAAAAGAAAGGTAAAACATCAAAATAACACCATATTTGGATACCCTTTCTTGTATTCCACGTGACTTGTAGCCGATGGGTACGCATATATTTACAATTGATATAAGTATCGAAACGACAACTAATCAATATAAATAACCAAACCCTCTTTGCACACACTCGAGTTTCATCTTCAGTGCAATCAGAATGGGGTACCATACACAGTTTCTTGCAGTAATCTTATTCCTTTGGTTCCTAAGCATGAGAGCAGAGGAAATGAAATCCTCAAAGAGTTGTGATTTTCCAGCAATATTCAACTTTGGTGATTCCAATTCAGACACTGGTTGCATGGCCGCAGCATTTTATCCAGAGGTTTCGCCTTATGGTCACACTTTCTTCCATGAGCCTGTTGGTAGAGCTTCCGATGGTCGCCTTATCATAGATTTCATTGGTACATCGTTTTTTCTTCTTTGTTTTTCATTTCTGTGCTTTGTCGCACAACACAAACATCCAACATCCTCCTTTTCTCTTTTCTTTGTTATTATCTTCTTCTGTCACACAACAACACAAGCTTTGTTTTTCTTTTAGTTTTTCATTTTTTTAAACTATATTTTAAAACAATTTTAAAAATTTGTTCTGCAATGATTGAATTCCACTATTAGAGTTGTCATTGAGCTTACACTCACGTCTAATCTACCTACATGAATAAAGCCGGGATTCGATGTCAACGGATCCTATCGTGAAAATTTTATTGCATCCCTCTCTATGTCGACAAAAAGAAAATATATTATCTTATTTATTTAATGAAGATTGTTATCACGAGTCTTAAATATATTAATGAAAAGCTTATAAATAAATAAAAATGTTTATACTATTCAACAGGTAAGAACAATGAAACAAATCCAAAATTATCTTGTGATATGTGAAAATTTGAACAAATTTGTTTAATGTGTATTTAAGGAACACACAACGAAAAAAATTATATTTATTAAAAATTGTAAAATGTGGTAAAATTGAATCTATTAATCACATTTAACATATGCAGCCAAGCACCTGGGTTTCCCATACTTGAGTGCATACATAAACTCAATCGGGACAAGTTATAGGGAAGGTGCAAACTTTGCTGCAGGATCATCAACTATTATGCGGCAAAACAGAACCGTCTTTGAAGGTGGCACTCCTTTCACTCTTGAAATCCAGATCCAACAATTTAACCAGTTTAAGGCACGCACCCGAAAGTTCTTCCACCAAGGTTCTTCCAAGATCTACTCAACATTAGGTTTATTTTTGTGTGATTTTATGGTCTCTTAAATTCATGTGTGCCGTTTTCAGGAAAGAAAAATTCCTACAGAAGACACTTTCCTAGGCCAGAGGACTTTGCCAAGGCTATCTACACATTTGATATTGGGCAAAATGATATTGCTGCTGCTATTAACAAGGTGGGCATGGAAGATTCTCATGTAGCGATCTCCGGCATTGTGGAATATTTTGCAAACCAAGTTCAAGTAAGCCATGTCAAAGCAACCATAGTTTGTGTTTGTTTTTATAATTTATTGTGGCAATCACTATCTTTCTTTAAATGTTAATATCAGTTTTAAGATTGATTTTCAGTAATTAAAATAATTATTTTATTGAAAATATTTACTACCTTAAAAAATTAATAAGTTTTTAGAAGAGTATTTTTTGTTACTTAAAATAAATTTTAAAGACTGATATTATTATAATGATTATTATTATTATTATTAAGGAGTGGGTGGATTGCATCCACTAAAAATTTAAAAACACCCATTTCAGAGTTTATATGGACTAGGAGGAAGGACATTCTGGATACATAACACAGGTCCCATTGGCTGCTTGCCAGTGGCCATGCCCATGCACAATGCCAAAAACCAAACTAATGTGACTCTTGATCAAAACGGCTGTGTCAATTACCAGAACGACATGGCCAAAGAGTTTAATAAAAAGCTCATGAAGATCGTGGTCAAACTCAGGGCACAGTTACCTGATGCCTCCATAATCTATGTGGACATGTTCTCTGCTAAGTATGAGCTCATCAGTAATGCTAATAAAGAAGGTAATCTGAAGTTAATTAACCAGTTTTACTATCAATATTTGCAAATAATAGAAAATTATGTTATATTGAATTGCAGGATTTGTGGAGGCATCTAATATCTGTTGTGGGTACCATGAGGATGGTTACCACGTGTATTGTGGGAACAAAGCAATGATTAACGGTAAAGAGATAGTTCCTGGGTCGTGTGAAGATCCTTCCAAGTACATTAGTTGGGATGGCGTGCACTACACTGAGGCAGCAAATAGATGGATTGCCAATCGCATACTCAATGGTTCATTTTCAGATCCACCACTTCCCATTACGCACTCGTGCCGCCCCACAACTCGTTAGCATATAACGCCTCTTCCATATCTTATATACAATTCAAATTGTTTGATCGCAATTTAGTTATTCAGTTTTTGTAACCTGTGTGATTAAAGATATATGACAACAATTTATATTAATTGATAGAACTTTTAAATTCTTTTAAGAGTCTTTAATAAAATTATTAATTTATGTTTAAGAGTATGTAACGTGTGTGATTAACTAGTCATTTATGTATAGATGGTGATTATGCTCAAGACAAATAACAGAAAAATTATACACAATTTTAAAGTAAATATCAAATAAAAATATACGTAATTATTATTTAAAAGGTATACAAAATGTTTAATACCTTCCTTATTTATTAATTATAATAATTTATAAGAATTAAAGGTGAAGAATTTAGAGTTATTATGCACAATAATTTTTTAAAATTAAAAGTTATATGATATATAATACATTAATAATTGTTACCTAACATGTGGATTAACTAGTAAAAAATATAGTTATTATGATAAATACTTGAAGGAAGAATTGTTATCCTCAATTATCATGTCATGTAAAAATAAGATTGATTTTGGTAAATGATACATGTAGTCTAAATTAAAAAAATAATACATTGATGATAATAAAAAAATATATAATATTTAATAAAATATTATTATTTATTAAATTTTTATTGTATTGTCACTATGTTTAAAAGGTCAAGTTACAACGCTTTCGTATTAGGGGTGGTAAAATAGGCTTGTTCTAACGGACTGGCCCGTCCAACCCACCAAAATTGACAAGCCAAGCTGAATAATATGAATCTACCAGCTTTTAGCCTACTAAAATGCAGGTTAATGGCGAGTTGAGGCAAGCTAGCCCGTCGCGTCTAAATTTTATTTTTAAAGAAATAAAAAAATTAAATTTTAATAAAATATTTTTATTAATATAAAATTATTTTTAAAAATATTTTTTATTATTTATTGTAATTTTTTTATTTTATAATTTTTAGTGAGTTATTCCATTAATTCAATAGTCTATTAACTTTTTTTTTTAGTTTTTGGTGGGCTAGTCCGTTAGCTTACCAGCCCAATTTACAAGGATACGAAATTATTTTTCCAAATTTTTACAAAAGCCACATTCTAAAAGACTGTTCAATAATTATCACCATATTAATTTAAAATATTTTAGTATCAAATTAAAAAGTCAATTAAAGTACTTAAATAATTTAAAATAACTTAGTTACTCATTCTTTTTTTTTTTTTTTCAAATGTTGTAGTTCATCTTTTTAATGATAGAACTTAAATAATAAAGAGTTTAACCTAAACTTTTATCAAAACCATCTTAAATAATTCTTTTAGGCTATGTTATTGAACTATCAAAACTATAGTCATTTTTCTTTCTCCACATGCATAGTATAACACAAGACGGTAAAAAATGGGATGCTCACTTGGTTGTAATAAATAAGATAATATTTTCAAAGGTGAATGAATGTTCAAAATAAGTGGTAAAAGATCTTAAATTAGTTTTGAACTTGTCTCCTGCAATTCACCGAATATCAAAATTTCCCTACTCATCCACTCCTAACAAAGAAATACTATTTTTGATGCACCAATAAGTCGTCATATATATTATTGTGCTGTCAAAACTACTATGTAGTAACAATGTTGATATCTTGAAAAGTAATTGTTCAAAAATATATTTTATTTTAATTAGACATTGTATTGTTAGTGATTTTGTCACTTCGACAATTTGTAAGACAAATAGAAATATAAGTTTAAAAACTTGACATTTTGAAAATAAATCTAACAACCACACAAACCCAAAGCCTAAAGCTTGAACACATGCAACTTTGTTGAATTAGTAAAGAAATCAAGAAAGAAATAATATAGGATTTTTAAGTCTAAGACAATTAACAAAAATTCAACTGCAAGGATGTAAATAATTACTTCTTAGATGCCCTTGTTTGGTAAGTGCAAAATATTAGGGTTGACTCAACTATATGATGATGTATCACGCAACTTAACCTTTATTTTGTTAGTAACTCACCAACATTACGCTAGAAATGAGATAAAAGAGCGATTCCATTTTAAATTAGAGAACATTTAGAACTGCTCTATAATCTTGCACTATGCAATATGTTACATTTAGGAGAGCAATTAAACAAATCGTTCTCAAATATTAAGATTAGGGAACGGTTCTGCATTAAACCGCTCTCCAATGTATGGGTGTAAGATTGGAGAGCGGTTCCACGTGGAACCGCTCTATAAAGTATGAATGTAAACCGCGAATATAAAATTTAAAATTTATTTCATTGTGAGTTTTCTATAGCAACCTAAAATTAATTTATTGTTACATTTAAATTTTAATTTATAAGTCTGACATTTAAAATTTTTCATTTTTATCACAAATTAAAATCGAATCTTGAATGTTAAGCAAACAGTCCACGTCTACACGAACCAAAACACAAGTAAACAAAGAAAAAGAGAACAAATTAGTAAGATAATTCACCGTTAATCAGAGAGAAAATGAAAGAAAGAGAGAATGAATGATTTACCATTAATAAAGAGAAAAAGAAAGAAAGAGAGAACTGTGAAAAAGGTACCTATAAATGTGAATAAAAATCAATTTATTAATGTTGAGAAGATAAAGAAAGCATAGAAGACAAAGAGAACTTACAAACGTGAAAGAGACCAAAGACATCAACTTTGTTAATGCATAAAAGATGAAAAGAACTTATAAAGGTAAAAGAGACCAGCTTTGTTAACAAGACGAAGAGATTCATGAGTTGAGCGTTGAGCGTGTTTCATTTAAAGACTTTAGAGAGCGGTTCTTTGTTAATCTCTCTCCAAAAATGACTCTAGAGAGCAGTTCTTTATTAACCACTCTTAGAAGTATAGATCTAAGAGCAGTTCAACATTAATCGCTTTTAAAGAGCGGTTAACAAAGAACCGCTCTCAGAAGTATAGATCTGAGAGCAGTTAGTGTTAAACCGCTCTCTAAATGTATTATTACAAAACAGTTTTTACTAGCCACTATCTAAGTTAGCGCTTCAAAAGCTTATTTCAGGCATAGTGCAAACAACCAATAGATAAAGAAAAGACACTAAAGTAGACATGAGAATTCATGCTTCATAATTCATTTTATCTTAAATATTTACCTATTAAAAATATCACTAAGATGTAATGATAAATGCAAATTAATATTGTAATTACCTTTCAGTTACTCAAAAAGAAAAAGACATAGAAACATTATTTTAGCTTTATGTTGTGATTCATCTTAAAAGAATTGAATCATGAAGACAATTTTTGAAGTCTAAGTATACAATAAAATAAATGGATTATCATGACTTTTTCTATATGTCTTCTTTAGAATTACATAATTACCTACGTATGGATAATAAGCTATCACTTATATATGTTGCTTACAATTAAACTCAAAAAATAAAAATATGTTGATTTACTTATTACTAATCTAAAAATTCCAACAAGAGACTTAATTCCTTTTTCATATGCGTGTGTATATACTCAGTCATGTCAATAGTTTTCCTAAACTTGTGAAAATACATTATTGTGGGCTAAGCTTTTCTCCGATGTATATAGATGTAAAGTTATTGCATCCTTAAGCTCAAATTAAAATTCATAAGTCAAAACTATATTTACATATTAAAAAAATTATAAATGTATAAAAGTGGAAAGTAATGATAAAAATGTTTATACCACAATTTTACTAGCTTCTTGGTTCATTGAATTTCCATTTTTCACCAATAGACTAGCCAATCATGTTTAGTTTTATTGGTAAGAAATTTTTATTTTTTAAGCCATCAGTTTAAACACATTTTATTGGGCCCTTTTTCTTCATGCTAATTGAATATGTTTTTTAAGTATAAATTTGAATATATTATGGCAGAATTATGATATTATATTTTTCTACCATACTACATAATGACATTAATTAGTAACCATCATATGATAGTGAAGGAGTTTGACGAGTTTATGCAATCTCCTAGTTTGTTAAAGACTCTTGTCATAAAGCTTTATTTAATTACTTAGCCTTGAGACCTTACACTTCTTGAACAACACATATTTTGTTATTCTTGTTCATCAAGGAAATATTTCATTGAGTCACTAGGCAATAAAATCTTACCTTTATTGCTTATCATGTTGTTCCTTCTACTGCCTAATAAATTAGTGAAATATGTCTTTAGATAATATAACAAAATCATCTTAGATATTGCATGAGCATAAATAAAATTAAGGAATTTAAAACAAAAGTTTGCACAACAAATCACAAGTACATTCATGCAAATTTTGATGTTTCATTCAACTAAAAACATAAAGCAAGTAATTTAAGGAGAAATAAAGAGAAAAATTCATATATCATTTTAAAACACTTTGCTTTTTACTTGACCTATTGTATCAATTGTTGTATTGGGTATATCATTCTTAAACCAATTGACATTTTCATTCTACATTAATGTAATTCTCTCTCTCTCTCTCTCTCTCTCTCTCTCTCTCTCTCTCTCTCTCTCTCTCTCTCTCTCTCTTTCAATACTTCATAGTAAGTGAAATTTTCTACTTTGAACTTAATAAATGATGTAATCATAACTTTATAATTTTTTCGTTTAAAGCCATTTATCATATAAGCAAAAAAGAAAAACTTTTAAGCAACAACATTAGGCTCTATAGATAACAATTTAATATCTTCACTGACTACTAAACTTTTTACATATACTTCAAATTATTTATGAAAAATAATATATTAATATTTTTTATTTTATTTTATGTTTAACCGTAATAAGTATGACTAAAAAGAAACTTGTCATATTTTATGTATAAAATAAATAAATATAAGAACATAAAAAAAACTTTTGTGTGATAAAATAGTCTCAAATAAAGGTTAAGAAAATATTTTCATATTTGTCTTACTTGATATATCACTTAGAAATATCATAACTAACACAACGACCAGCTTGCTCACACCCAAGATGTTCTAAACTTATCATCATACTATCTCCTATTGAACCATCTAAATTCTTTGGTAAGTTATTAAATTTTA